GTGCAACTCTCCTGTATATGTAGTCACTCTGTCCTATCTCCACACAGGATCCCTGGAGCTCAGTCAGAATGACCATCGGTTTCTTGGTCACCTCTCTTACTGAGGCCCTTATCCCCCGATTGCTCAGTTTTGTTGGCGAACAGCTCTTGGAAGAGTCCTGGTTGTGCCAAACATCTTCTGTTTGAGAATTATAGAGGCCACTGTGCTCTTGAGAACTGTCAGTGTAGTATTATTATTATTATTTTTTTTTTTAATTGTAGCCTTCCCCAGATCTGTGCTTTGCAATAATCCTGTCTCTGAGCTCTGCAGGCAGTTCCTTTGTCCTCATGGCTTTTGCTCTGATACAGTATGCATTGTCAGCTGTGAGACCTTTTATAGAGAGGCGTGTGCCTTTCCAAATCATGCCCAATCAATTTAATTTACCACAGGAGGACTCCAATCAAGGTGTGGAAACATCTCAGTTAGGCTGACCATACATTATACAATACTCTTGAGATTTTTGCTTTAGATTTACCAAAAACCATATAATATGAGGTCAAACCCAAACAACACTTTCAATTGTATCCAATCAGGCAGGCCCTTGCACTACACAGTTGAAGGTAAATCTAAAGGAAATTGGACAGAAAATTGTATAGTGTATGGCCAGCCTAAGAGAACTGGGAGACACCTGAGCTAAAATTTCAAGTGTTGTTGCAAAGGGTCTGAATGCTTATGTGATATTGCAGGGTTTTTTTTTTTTTGTTTTTTTTATTAAATAAATTCACAAATATTTCTGAATGTCTGTTTTTCACTTTGTCATTATGAGGTACTGAGTGTAAATTAATGAGAGAATAAAATGAAAACAACTGTAGTATCAGGCTGCAACATAACATTGAAAAAAGTGAAGTGTCTGAATACACTATGTGCATTTCAAATCCATATTTATCCGATTTAGTGGTATATGGCAGGATTTTAGCATTAACCAAGGATGGTGGTATGTTTCTATGTGCCAGAGAAAAAAAACACAAAATGTTTATAGGAATTACTTGGCCTCGCTTACACTCTCCATTCTCCTCTAGGAAACAATACATGTATATTTTAGGGGGCTGCATCACTCAACACAACCTGTGAAGAGTACTCCAATCTCTATCTTACATAGAACTGATGATCTATCCTGCAGCTGAGAGGGGGGTGAGAAAGAAAAAAAAAAAAAAAAAAAAAAAAAAAAAAAGGGGAACACACATCATGCTTTTACAATTTCTTTCGTGAAAAGCTCCAATGACTAAAGCCTAGACAGTGATACTTCCCTTTCCTGATATCAAAAAGGAGGAAAAAAAAAAAAAAGTTACCCCTATAGCTTACCATTTGGCTCCAGATTCAGGCACACAAAACTACAATTCCTCTTTATGTTTAACATAAGGATCCACATTAGCCTTATCGCTACATGAAGCCCTTGGGCTTCTACCACTGCTTGACAGGTGATTACACATATGTGACGCGGTACATCGCATGTAATTCGCACAGGAACAGCCCCACATTCCTATACAAATCACATGCGATTTGTGTGCAGTGCGATTGAAGCCATACATTTTGTATGGCTCAAATCGCACTGCACCACAAAAAGGTGCAGGACCCTTTTTTGGGTCCGCACTAGAATCAGATCGCACGGGTATTCACACCTATGCGATCCGATTCTGCACATCACGTTTTGCGGACCGATTTCGGGGTGTTAACATACACACCTGCATCAGTTCGCATGAACGGGGTGCGATTCTGATGCGGTGCAGAATTCACACAGAAAACACTGCAAATTCTGCACCGCATCAGTGTGAACCCAGCCTTATGCGGGCCATAAATGGGATGAAAAACGGCCGGGAAAAAAAAAAAGAAGGAGGCCGATTTTCAGATCGTTAGTGCGGTAATTGGTCGGCCGTTTTTTGTGATTTTTGACCTTTTGGATTACCGGCCCTGCTGGAAAATAATTGGCCAAATTTGTCGTTCTGCCTATTTTCGCGGCAATGATGGACAAATCTGCCGATCTTTTTCCGATTTTAAAAAATGCGCATGAGCAGTGACATGAAAGAAGGAAAAGAAGAAAAGGAAAAAAAAGAGAATATGAATGAGAGGAAGAAATAGAATATGAATAAAAAGAATAGAATATAAAGAAGAAATAGAATATGAATAAGAAAAAAGAAGAAATAGAATATGGAAAAAAAAAAAAAAAAAAAAAAAAAAAAAAGGAATTTCAGTCCGATATTATATTTGACATTTAAAAGTATAGCAACATTGTATCTATTTGTATCCAAATAGAAACATCTGTATCCAAAATGGATACAAATAGATACAATGTTGCAACTTTTTCTTCTTATTATTCATATTCTATTTCTTCTTCTTCTGCATATTCTAATTCTACTCCTTCTTCTGCATATTCTATATAATTGCCGGCAGTAGACGGGACGAAAATCAGCTGACTTTTTTTTACCAATGGTGGTAACGTCGGCTGATTGAACGACAAATTTTTCGTTTTTCTAAAAAAAAACGGACGGTTTTCTCCCCGTCTATGGCCTGCATTACTCTTCATTTCTCAAACCTGTGGTAATCTTGCCATGTGGTCATTTCTAACCTGAGAAAATGACATACTATTACTTCCGTTCACATTAAATTGTGCCTTATATTGTTTAATGTTTTCCTTCCAGTTCTGGAAAAAGGTTGAAAACTATAAAAAAATAAAAATAAAAAAATGCATGCGTTAAAAAAAAAAAAAAAAAAAATTACAAAAAAAGGATAACACAAAGGATTTTGCAGTCTGCATTAAGCCCTGGCTTATTAATTGCTCATCTGGAAACGTCTAGTCTTAACATGTAATTATGCAAATGAACAGAGCCAGAATTTTTCGTGTCTGTGTTTATTCAGCACTGTGTGAGACGCTGCCTTCCAGCACAAACAGGACCCCCGTACAAAGGACGAGACACCCCCCGCCACCCCAATTACAATTCCGATCGTCTTTGAATGCTTAACAGCTCCACCTCAAATACAAGAGTGGATCCTCCTGAAAGAAAGAGAAATATGCAAATTAGCAAGAGCACCTAGGCCAACAGCACAGTGGTAACCGCTTTTTATTATAGAAGATGAAAATCGACATGCAAAGATTGTAACCAACAGCAACCACCTGATTCCCCTTTCACTGATAAACAGTAATGAGCGGAAGTATTTCTAGCTGCCATGGGTCAATACACTTCTACGTTAATTAGCAAAGCTGTGCAAAAGCTGAGACTGTATAGTTTCCTTATGCAACATTCATGCTGTGGCGAGTCAATATATTATTCAGCTGAACTATTTAAGAAGGGGCATAAAATAGACTGATACAATAGGTGGCATTTATAAAGAAGACAAACACTGGATGCTTCAAAATGTTTCAAGCTTTGCCTAACATTTGTAATTAAAATTATGACATTTAATAGAAACCTCCATCCCATTGCAATTTCAAATAAAAGTATTGTATTTAGAAAGGATTATTGCCATCTTATACTGTTCAGTGCCATTCTCCTTCCATTTGCAAAAGGTAGCCGTGAAGAATTCAAAAATACTCAACCTTCATTATGTTCTTCATATCCACTGACTCGTGAGTCATCAGCGCTGATGGAACTCAAAAATCTCTTTGCGGACTCAATCCCTAATCTTCATCTCTCATTTACCCTCTCATCAGTGTTACTGATAACGTCTGCTAGTTCCAGGTAGTGATATACTTGTTTCTTCCATCTGTGTCCATACCGACATTAAATCACCAATGATAACAAGATCTATGGTTTCCCAGGCTTGTTGCTTAGGAGGCAATTTCAGGTTCTGCCTTCTTATTTCTACTCACTGCCATGCTCGTGTCACTACCTATTGCCCTCAACTTAGAAAACCTATTATATTTGTCGGTTGCTTAGAGGTTATTTTGCTGTAAAAAAAAAAATATATAAACCCCAATCATAGCAGCAATTCAGATGTTCTGTTCAGGTGGCCTTTATAGAACCTTCCTGCAATTCTGACAGACTTTTCCACAACATAGCTTCTAGTTTTACACTGCTATAATCAAAAATGTAACAAAATATCTGAGTTTAAAACATCCAAGAACGGCAAAATAGAACAGGATCAAAAAAAAAAAAAAAAAAACCCAAAAAGTTATGGTGAGAAAATCCTGGGAAAGTACTTGAAAATATACTGCTCGACTCACCTGGTATTTTGGGTGGTGCTCCTCTATCTCCATAACCTGAAGGGAAAAAATGCATTTAAGATTTATTCAGCGCGATGCCCCCATTTCTTTCCGCTCTCCCAGCTCAAACACAATCTTACCCAGTTCTGGAGGAATAACCAGCTTCCTTTTCTCCCCCTCGCACATTCTGCAAAATAAAGCAGAGCCTCAGTATTAAATGATGTTTACTATATAAGTGACATACACTTTTGTTCCATATACTAATCAAGTGAGTTTACCTTAACTATTGGGTGGAGATCAGGATGCATTGGATATAGAATACGTTTAGAAAAATAAATGCATGCAGTTTACAGGCCTCAGTTTAATGGTCCAGACACACTGGGCATAAATAAAAAAATGCTGCTTATACAAGCTTTTTTGCATTTTTTTTTCTGCAGCCTGTAGAAGCATATCTATATTAGCCTATGTGTCTATGTACATTAGGGAGCTTACAGAGGAGCTTTTAGAGGCAGAAAACAAACATTCAGAACTGTGTTTTTAAGAGGGTTTCAAACAAGGGAAAAAAAAATGCTTAACGCTCATAAAACGCACCTGGACAGCGTTTAGGAGCGTCCAGAGTTTTCAAGTGTACATTAAGAGTTTATGGGCATTCTTGAAAACCTTCCCCTCTACCAATTTTTAACACTCTCGTTCAATACGAGCCACTATGAGTTTTTTTTTTTTTTTTTTTTTTAATGCCGCTTTTTTTCTGCCCCTAGTATGCATAGACCAGGGCTTAAAATTTCAAGTCCTGAAAGAGTTACTCGCCACCAACACAGACACCTGTACACACACACACACACACACACACACACACACACACACACACACACACACACGTACACACACACGTACACACACACACACACCACGTATACACAAACAGCCACGTACAGGCACACATACACACAGATACATGTACATACACAGGAAATACACATGCGAACACACATACACACAAACACACACACATACATACACACAGGACACACAAAACACGTACACACACCACCCCCCATTAAAAATTGCAGTACTTCGTTGTTCACTCACAGAGCCGGGTACTGCACTCTAGGGGGAGGCAGAAAGCACAGCACACACTCCTTCCTTTGCTTTCACTGCACTCAGCTATTGAGCAGTCTGACAGCTCCCAGTGCCAATGAGAGATCCGGCCTGAGCTCCGAGCCTACTCAGCAAGATGGCCCTGGAGGACACACTCGCCCCCACCATAATTTCCACTCGCCATGGGCGAGCGGAAATTTCAAGCCCTGGCATAGACCCTTAAGCCTGGTTCACACCTTTGCGTGTGTGGGCCATGTTTGCTCAGGCATGGCAGATCATTTGATTGGGCTGCCATGCCAGCATTTTGTGCATGCACCTTTTTCAAAATGCAGTCCTTTTGACCATGCAATTTCCCTGTGGCTCATGCAGCTGTAAATGCATTTTTATACATGTGGGGGGTGCCATTCAGAACGAATGACAGCCCAGTGCGTTCTCTCACAGCAGCGTGTTTTCAAACCATGGTTGCAGGAAAGAAAATCGCATCACCTATGGCTGGCTTTACTCTGAACTCCACCCCGTTACAGAGATGAGGAGAGGGGAGGTGTTCTTAGTGCCAACACCCCTCCTGCCTTAGGATGACAAATGCTGCTCCTCCATAGACATAGTAGAGTGAGTGTTGTCACCCTAGGACAGGAAGCATGCTACTGCCAGGGTGACTAGGTGAAATATAAAAGAAGAAGCCTGAAAGAAAACCTAATGCAGCCATCACATCTAAAAGACTAGCAAGCTGTAATATAATCACATTTTTTCTTTGGTTTTTTCCCCATACACTTTAAAAGCCGCATTTTAGAAATAGTCAGTGATGTTGCTAGTCCCCCCTCTCTCCCCCTCAAAAATAAAGCAGATCCTGAGCCATTCCCTACACCGTCTGTGCTAGGCACACAAGAGGCCTCTATGTCAGCCACACACCAGGCAGGTGACAGAACAGTCTGTGCTCACTTAGACCAGACTGCACACAGTCAACAAAAACAGAGTTTGCAGCCACAAATTAGACCACTTTCAACAGACGGCATGGAAAACTAAGCCAGATCAATGAAATCTAGACGGATGCTAATTAAAAGCCATTTGAGATTTGCCCTTCCCTTTAGAGAGGAGACAGAACACAGGCACTCAGAATGGCAAATGAATGCAAATTAAGCCTTGTCTGTCACAATAAATCATACATATTAATCCGCCGCTATATTAATCCGTTTAAATCTCTTTGAGACTGAAAAAATCTCCAGTGTCACATGACAAAGCCCAGACAAGTCATGTATAATGAGACATGGTTTTCACTTAATTTACATTAGATATGGGGAGGCATCTATACAAGGGTGCGCAAATAGGGAAATCTCTACCTCAGGTTATTAATAAAAGGTCTTGCTTCCAGACTGGTAAAAGTTTGTATAAAAAAAACCCAAGTTGTTTGGAATAGAAGCAGATGATGACCTGACCCTTCTCCCCCCCCTCACACACTTCCCCCAGGTATCAGATGGTACACATTTCTGACACAGCTATTTAATAGTAACAAAGCGCCACACAAAGAGCTTAATGGTGCAGTGGGAAGACAGCACGCCCTGCTGGTAAAAAATAAGAAAGCATGCATATCGAATGTAACCCAAATCAGCTGGTAGGTTTCCAGTTAAAAAGGTAGTTATATGCCTTTAGGGTGATCTGCTGTATATACTGATATTTATACTAAACAAGCTCTACAAAAAAAAAAAAAAAAAAAATCAGTTTTTGCAGCAAAATTTTTAAAATTATATTACACGAGTTCTATTTATCCCATCTCTAATCTTTATGGCACTGTATTACATAGAATATATGGTACTTCATTCATGTCTCACTCAGAAACAAGCGATAGAATTCCCATGTATATATAGCCTCTTCCATACCGGGCACTTTTACCCCCTTCCTGCCCAGGCCAATTTTCAGGTTTCAGCACTCTCACACTTTGAATGACAATTGCACGGTCATACAACACTATACCCAAAACTAAAATGTTATCACACAACTAGAGCTTTCTTTTGGTGGTATTTAAGCAACACTGGGGTTTTTATTTTTTGCTAAATTAACAAAAAAAGACTGAAAATTTTGAAGAAAAAAAAAAAAAAAAAATTTTCTTTGTTTCTGTTATAAAAGTTTGCAAATAAATAATTGTTCTTCATAAATTTAGGCCAAGATGTATTCTACTACATGTCTTTGGTGAAAATAACCCAAATTGGGATGTATTATTTAGTTTGTAGGAAAGTTATAGAGTTCACAAACTATGGTATAGATCTGAATATTGATCAATCCTGAAGTACTGACAGCCAATCTAATTTCTTGAGGTCCGAACAGTACAGATATCCCCAAATGACCCCTTTTTTCAAAGTAGACAGTCCGACGTATTTCATAAGAGGCATGGCGAGTTTTTTGTAGTAATTATGTCAATTTTTCGGAAAATGAAAAAAAAAATTTCACTGTTTTTTTTTTTTTTTTTTAACATATACTGTCACCAGTGCAGTACAGCGTCATTATATAACTGTCATGGCAGTGATCAGGGACACTGCCTGGTGACAGTACGAAATTTTTTTTTTAACTTTACTAGTATTAATTTATTACATTTTCTTCTCTAAGTTTTTTCATATTTCACTATGACCAAAGCAGTATAAAGTTACCACAGTAACATTGTACTACTTTGGGGAAGTGATCAGTATTTTTTTTTTTTAACATAATTTGCTTATAGCAAAGAATTACTTTGCTATAAGCAAGCATTTACCAGAATGACATCGATTCATTTAGGGTTTTTTTTTTTGTGCTTAGCTGTGATTTGGCCACAGCTAATCACATGACACAGCTGGGCAGTGATTGGCCCAGCTTGTGCATGTGATCGCTGTGACCATTCAAAGCTAGACACTAGTATACAATGGATGGCATGAAAGGAAGCCATCCATTGTATACAAGTGTCATGTGACCTGCTGTGATTAGTCACAGCAGGTTACATGGTACTGGAAACTGGGTCGATACACAGATCTGTCATCAGCCGTGTCCGAGGTACACAGCTGGTGACAGATCGTGCCGCATGACTGAAAGGACGCTATATGGTATCCACCCAGAAGGATGAGCTGCTCGCCCGGCCGCCTTTGTGCTATTGGCCGGGCGGGAACTGGATAGTTAAGCCTCGTACACACGATGAAAATACCAAACGAATGACAGTTGGTTTCTTTGCATGCTAGTCTCACATGAAAAACAAATAGATTACTAAAGTTACAAAAATTCTTGTAAAACAGAATACAGAACTTCAGAAGTGATGTATTGTAATGTATTCTTTAGTTTCCGAGCATGTGCGGACTTTTCGTACAAATACTTTTTTTCGTACAAATACTATAGCATTTACACGAAAATGATGATCGGATCATGAGATGACTGCTCCAAATGCATTTTTTTTTTAAATTTAAATTTTTTATCCAATATTCTTATAGTGTATACAATACCTTACACAGGTCTGTAACGATGATGAAAAAGCTAGACAGCAACAGAATTTATTATTAAAGTGTAAATAAAAATGTTTTATTAAAGTCAAATAGGCTGTTGACTTTGTAAGGGAATTTTCCCCTTAGCTTGGTGAATGTGGAAAAAAGTCACTCTGCAAACAACACCCAATCACATGCAAGGAAGTGAAAAGCTCATTTGATTTTAGTAAACGAACCCCATTAACTTAAATTCAAAAGTCATATAGCACTTTACTAGTATTGTTGTCAGAGGCAGCAAAGCTTGTTCTTAGGTAATGATTACTTTAACCTCTTCGCAACGGCGCCTCCCTGCCCTTTAAGGGTTTAAGAATCCGGGTAGGGTTTTAGGGTCATGTGACCACTATGATTCGCCGTCACATAATCGGAAAAGGGGAAAGGGGAGATCGGGACCTTTACATGAGTCACGGACATATGTGCTGGGAGCGCACGCTCTCACCACACATGTATTTTCTAATTGCATGCAAATATGCGGCCGCTCGGCGTCAAGGCCCAGACGCCGAGAGGCCGCATATTTGCTTGTACTTGGCGTCAATGGGTTAATGTCAAGTGATCACCCTGAAAAGGCAGTGATCAATGCTCTGACACATAATACAATTCCTCCCTCCATGCTGCCAAACAAGCCTACTTTGTCACTCTTATTAAATACCTTGTCATCCAGTCCTTGTCATCTCTTCTCTACTTTTAACTCTACTTTCTCCACCCAGTAACTCACTCACTGCTTACAAGATTGCCAATCATGTCAAAAGCAAGACTGATGCAATTCGTAGGAGCATCTCCACTACACAGACATCTATCCCACTTAACATATCTTATACTAAACCTCCCTCAACACTTTCCTCTTTTGACCTTGCTACTACTGAAGAGGTCACTAAGGTTTTCTCAGAAGCCCATCTCACTACCTGCCCCCTCACAACTACTACGGTCACCCTCTTCTTCCATCCTATGCTCCCTCACAAACATCTACAATCTCTTCCTCTCTACTGGCACCTTCTCATCCTCTCTAAAGCACGCACTCATCACTCCCATACTTAAAAAGCCCTTGCTGGACCCTACCAATCTGAACAACTGAAGACCCATCTCCCTGCTCCCGTTTACCTCGAAACTCTTAAAACGGTTAGTCTACAATCGCTTGATCTCCTACCTCACTGACAACAACCTTCTTGACCCTTTACAGTCTGGCTTTCGCTCACTACACTCCACTGAAACTGCTTTACTAAAACTCACTAATAATCTACTAACTGCTAAAACCAATGGCCACTACTCCGTACTCTTACTACTTGACCTCTCTGCGGCTTTTGATACTGTTGACCATCCCCTCCTGCTCAAATTCCACTCTTCTGGCCTCCTAGACTGATCTCTCCTCGTTCTCCTCCTACCTATCACAGCGCTCCTTCAGCATTACCTAGAACTCTGTCTCCTCCTCTCCACTTCCTCTTTCTGTAGGGTTCCCTCAAGGTTCTGTCCTTGGACCCCTTCTCTTCTCCATCTACACCTCCTCCCTTGGTCACTTGCTAAACTTTCATGGCCTTAAGTACCATCTCTATGCTGAGGACACACAAATCTATCTTTCCACTCCTTACCTCGTGCCTTCAGTTTCCTCTCACATTACTAACCTACTAAGTGACATATCAACATGGATGTCACTCCACTTCCTCAAACTAAATATTTCGAAAACAAAGCTCATATTATTCCCTCCAGCCCGTACCCCCTCCC